CTCTGAGGATGGGCAGGATTCGGAAGCCAAGTGAGGGCACCCTGAGGGCTGGACTGGCAGGGATGGAGGTCTGGAGGTGGGGTAGGAGGGGCCAGCCCAACCAGGCACAGACCCCCTCCCTCCAGGACAGGATGGGGGCAGGAAGAAAAGGGGAGCAGCCCTTCTGGGTAGGAGCCAGTCGCTCCCTCGCCCCCTGCCCCATTCAGGCTGTGATCACCAGGCAGTCACAGAGCGGCCCAGAAATACCAGGGGTCACTGAGGGACAAGGGTCTCCCAGACGCCTCTGTCATGCCTCCAGGACAGACTCCACCAGGGCACTTAACTGATTAAAATCTCACCCGGTGCTCTCTGAGGATATCATTTTAAAGCTCCAACAGGAGGGGGAGAAGGCCATAGCCAGGCCTGGCTTTATTACCTTCCCATGGACAACCCCAATGTGACCCCGATGGCAGCTTTTCTTCGCCCGAAAAACCAACGGTGACACTGACCCACGTCCCCTAATGTTTAAGACCCCCGTTGATCTCTCCCCTGATAAATTCATTCTCTGTGATCTGAGCTTAAAAAACCAGCAGCCTGCGAGCTCTGCTTTCTGGAGTTAGCCTCCCCTGACTTTCCAGCCCTGCTCACCTGGGGGACCGCCCTCCCCGTGCACGCCATGTGGCTGGCTGTACGGCAAGACCTCCTCACCCGCTGACTGATGGCCTCCAGGCCCACTGCTCCCAGCTGCAAGCCACCTGCAGTCACCTCCAGATGACTCTCCAAACACAAATTCACGATCTTGGAGGATATGGACACATCACCCAGAGCCATTCCACAACCATTCGGGGGTGGAGGAACTTACAGAAGGAAGGGCCTCAGGTGGAACGAAGCGAGGCTCCCAGCCAGGATAAGACACCAAGAAGCAAACACTTTGGTCCCGGTTTATGATCTCTGCCCAGCGAGCAGACCCTTGGAACCTGAAGACCACCCCCGGCAAAGGGGAAGGCAACCCCACTCTATGGGCATGAGTGCCCCTTGCCCTCTCTTCTGCGGGCTGGGCCCCTCCCGCTAGAGAATGGTGCGCCCTGGGCCCCGGTGCCTGCCTCAGCACAGAGTTAGATGGAGGAGGCAGGAAGCCAAGGGCTAAAAGCCACTTCAGAACAAAAGAAGGATTCCTTTAGGAAAAATCAGCAAATACCTCTTTCCTTTCCTTCCTCTTTTCCACAAACAAAAAAACAACAGTTCGTCTGCCCTCCTAGTCTGAGTTCACGTGAGCAGCCCCCTCCGGGGAGAGCCCGAGGCCGGTGTGACTGCTGTGTCACACAGAGTGACATCACAGGCGGCTGCAGGGAGCAGCCAGGGAACAGCCAGGGAACAGCCAGCGGAGGGAAACGCTGAATGTCAAACCAGCTTAGCGAGGAGGAACTGACGTTTGGGGACGAGAGCCCAATGCCAGTGATTATGCCTGGCTTAACACCCCCCGACCACACGGCCCGCAGGTGTAAGCCACGGCTCTTGTCCTCAGTGGGGCTGCAGCAGCCAAACATGTTTAATGAATGCGGCAAAGTGATAAAGTAGGTTTGTGCTCATACCTCCGATTCCAGCCTTCTCACGGGAAGGCTGGTATTTCAAGTGTCCCTTTGATCTACTGCAAGTCCCTAAGAGGATCCATCCAATAAACACACTGGGTTTAAGTCAGAAATGTTAACAGGACCCTGATCTGCCCTGGGAATGCACCACTACAAACATGTCACATGTCACTTGAGAAAAAGCTGAGGCAGGCCAGGTAGAGCAGAGAGGTGCCTCTGGGGCCGATGTTAGCCTTCACCGGGTAAGGTTGAGGTCTGGCCGCAGCCAACGCCTAGTTATCAGCTCAAACATTTTCCAAAACAGCTTAGGTTTCTCCGGGGAGACGGCTTTGATGGTTCCATTTGTTTATGTGCGAGCTCCAGCTTGTCCAGAGGGCCACATTGTTCCTGTGCTGGGGAGTCCCCCTGGGGCTCTGACACACCTTCCCCCAGGGCCTTTCAAGTCCCCCTGAACCTGAGGTGGCTGGGCAGAAACTCCCAGGAGGGCCTACCCTGCTCCACAGGGGTGGGAGGAGGCAGGCTTGGCCTTGAGGAGTTGGGCAGGGCAAGCCAGTTGGCTCCTCTGCCTCCAGCCCTATGGCCTGGGCTTTCAAAACCCGTCTGGCAGGCTGCCAGGCCTGGGGTGGGGGCAGTGACTGACAGGCTGGTTATTGGAAAGCTCCCATCATTAGCCCAGGAATGTTGTTTGGTTACCATGGCGACTTTCACTACAAGCAGCCTGACTAAAGCACAAGGAATCTGTTACCTAAAACCACAGAGCCCCAAGGAGCCCTGGGCTTCAGGAACCACCAAGCTTATCAGGGCCCGTTCCCTTTGACCCCATATCCCTGTCCCTCCTCTCAGGGCCTCCCAGCTGCCTCCCACACCCAGGACCAGGAGAAAAGACTAGCAAAGGCATCTCCAAGCTGGCCTGGGCCCTTTCACATTCCCCTGCCTGGCCTGGCTTGGAACCAGGTCCAACCAGGGTGGCTGCTGCCCCCCTGAGGCCCCCTGCAGTCTAACCAGCACGGGCCTGGCCAGCACATGTGTCCAGGGCTTAGTCGGAAGCCCTCAGGATTTCAGGAAGCTGCTGAGTGTCTCGTTCCCACCGTGCCAGGTTCACACTGTCCCTGCGGCCGGCCGGCAGTCTCTGCCTCATCACGTTCCTGCCTTTTTAAACCCAAGCTCCATTAACGAAAGGTCATCCCGCAGCCCGGAAATTAACAGGCTTCTTTGCGTGGCTTTCTAATCCCTGAATTCAGGAGGATTTTCGAAAGTTCAACTCCACGAAAGCTGGGTTTTTCTCCAGGACTCTTCAGACTGCCTGTAGGAAGAGTGGCCACTTGTGCCGCTGAAAAGCTTAAACACCTTTCGCCGAGTGCGCCTGCCCTCCCTCACGCACAGGGCTCCCTCCTCCAGCGCCTGGCCCGCGTGCACTGCCCACCTGCTGCCGCCTTACACTGCAGTGGGCCGACTCCCAGACCGTCCATTCTGCTGTCCCTCAACAGAGCTGTACACTGACCCCAAGACCTTTTCTTGCCCGAGTCTTACCACAGACCTCGGGAGCAGAGGAGGCAGGATAGATGCCAGTCTTTGGCAGATGAGGAATGAAGGCACAGGAAGCAGGGGCATGCTGCTGGAGGGGGCAGGTTAAGAGGCAGGCATACCTCACAAGGGGATAGTCCAGTTGGAAAGGGGTCACTGTACCCAGTGACACCCTCCCCTGTGCCATGCGTCCTCCACTCCTGACATTGGCCCGGCCCACCTCTTTTTTTCACGAAGGCAGGCTCTGCAGCCTCCAGAGGCCTCGGCCACCTGGGACGGCCGGTGGGGAGGAGCTCTTGGCAGATAGACCCCCCTGAGTATACAGACCTGGTTGGGCTGACGTCAGGGGGTTTGACTTTTTTTTTCCCTGCAGTGATATTATTGGATCGGTCATTTAATTAACTGCTGTGGCAATAGCCAGAGCCATACATACAGCTTGTTCCCAATGCAGGGAGCAGCTGGAGAAGCAGGACACAGTTTCTACTGAAGAGCAATGACATTTTTCAGTGATCCCTGACCGGTAATGGACTCAGTGACATTTCCTGCTAATCTGTGGGTTTCTGTGCTCCCGGGTTTCATCTGTGGGGAATGGTATTGACTTATCTGCAGAGTCATGGTCGCTCCAGAGCTGTGTGGGAGGTGGGTGTTCCACCCCACCTTTTTTAAAGATGGATTTATTTTTCCTGCCTAAGGAACAGGGATTGTCCCCTCACAGTTCTGGGGGTCAGAGCTCCCATATTACCTCCAGTTACTCTCTTAGCCTTTTAGGGCTGGCTCAGATCGAGCTGGTCATGGAGGTGAGGGGCTCAGGGTGGCTCAGAGACAAGAACCTGTCACTGCTTCTCCACCCCATGACCCCAGTGTGCAGACATCACAGGGATGGGTTGCTCTGGCCCCCAAACGCTCCCCGGTGGGCCTCTCTGCAGTGATAAAGGAACAGAAGACCCTGAGGAGGCCTCCGGGCTGGGACTCACTTTCCTTCTTGGCTCAGACCTCAAAGCGGTCTCCCTGCTGCTGGCCCCACAGCCCCAGCCCCTGAGGCCCCAGGAGTGGCCCTGTGGTGTCTGGATCGGGGAGCTCTGTTGGGAACTGTCCCTTAAGAAGGCTCCTGCCTGCAGAAGCAGGGACATAGCAGACCAAGTGGGGCATAGTTACCCTACAAATTGACCACAGCACAGTCTGCATCGAGACTTCTCACCTTTTTTGGGTTTAAGGTCCTTCTGAGGGTCTGAGGAAAGCCATGTCCCTGGATGCATGCAAGTGCAAACCTTAGAGTGCAGGTCCAGGTGTTCATGGAGGCCCAGAAGTCCACCCATGGGCCTCCCAGGGGGTGCCGCCAACTTCACAGCAAGGACCACCTCCCCCACCTACCCAGGAAGACACTCAGTGAGTGAAGCATCCTGGGGAAGAACTGGGCACCTGAGGTTGGAGGAAAGGGGTGGGTGGACAGTGCACCCACTGCAAATAAGGGAGGGAGGACTGGGGAGAAGCTGGCTTCCTCACCCAGGCCAAGAGCCAGGGAGGATGGAGGAAGCTGGCAGGAGGTGGGAGGCCCTTCCCTGGGTTGGTTGGGAGGAGTTGAGGGAGAGCCAGAGGGCGCCCCCACATCCTGGACACACCCCACTCCTGCTGTGCCTCAAACATCATGGGCTTCAAGCAGGTTTTCACAAGCGGCCGTAGCCTCCCCACATTAGTCCCGGGGAGGTGATTCTGCCAGCAGAAAGCATTCGGTCTAGAAGTTAGAAAGGACTGCGTGCAGTAGGATGCCAGGTGCTGGGCCTGGGGACTGAGGAGGGGCCTGAATCTCCTTTCCGTATTTCCATCAGGACAGCTCTGCTCCCATCTCTTCACAGTCTTGCATCTGTGGCCACCCCGCTCCCCAGCCAGTGGTGCCCCCAGGGAACTCACTTGAAGTTCTCGGGGTACTCCGTGATGGCCATGTTGATGACATCCAGGGCGAGCTGGTAGTGTTTCTGGGCGGAGAAGAGGAGAGCCAGCAGGTGGAGGGCATTGGCATCATCCCTGCACAATTTCAGGGCCTCCTGCAGCTGCTCCATAGCGCTGGAGATCTGCCAGAGAGAACCGCCAGCTCAGTGACCTTCCCCGAGGCCCACACTTCCCTCTAGGACTTTGGTGCCAGTCACCAGCCATCAAGGGGACATGAGACTCAATTGAGACCCTGGGCACTGAGGGGCAGGGCTGGTGCTCTGATGAGAAACCCCCTGCACCCCCAGTCACATGGCAAGAGGGATCTGCGGCCCAAAGTCAGGCCCAGGAAGCCTTTGCTGTCCCCACATGGAAGTAAGAGGAGCAGGTGTGCGGTGCAGCACAAAAGATCTGTAGACACTGGGAAGCATTTCCCAAGCTGGAGTGGGGTCGGTAAGAACCACCAGGCCACGAGTCTGTACCTGAAGGTAGCCAGGCCCTCTTCTCTGGACCGGTCCATGCAGTGACAGGGGCCGACAAATAAATGCCCCTCCTACCCAGAGGCTCACAGTGGCAAGAGCATGGGGTCAGATGGGGGCAGGATTCCAGCTCTGCCATGTTCTAGCTGGTGCCTTAGGACAAGGGGCTTCACCTCTCTGAGCTGTAGTTCTTAGGCTGCAAAATGAGAGCAGCCAGAGCCATTGCAGTGGCTGAGGGGGCGTGGAAAAATGTTCTGCAGAGGACCATGCGCCTGTGAAAATGTGTTTCCTTCTTCACGCCCTCAAAGCCAGGCAGCTAGCCAGGCAGCTAAGGGCCAGGCAGGATTCCTCCTTCTAGTCCTGAGGGGCGTGTAGTCCCATGCTCTCAGGTCTGGCACTTAGACCAACTACTGCGACTTTGTCCACATCCTCCCAAGAGCCTTGTAAGTCTTTTTAGAAAGCCTGGCTTCTTATCCAATCTCAGATACCGATCCCCCCATGTTCCTTGGGGGACCTATGGTGCAGGCCAGTGGGGGCCTTGGGTCCCGGGGTGTCCGGCCCCTGCCTGGTCTCCACTTGGCCTCTGTGCAGGCTGTGGGCGGTGCTGGACCCCGAGAGTTCCATGAGGACCTTCCTTTGTGGAAAGGTTGAGGAAAGGCAAGGAGGAAGCTAAGGCCAGTGTGGCTGCCAGCTTGGCTTGCCTGTGCCTCCCCGAGGGTGCTCCTACCCTGGTGATTCTCCAGAGTGGACCCCATCATCCTGGGCTGGAGCCACACCCACAGCCTTCACTGCTCGGGCAGCAATACATGCTCTGGGCAGAACAGGCCAGTGGGCCTGAGACCCAGGCAGGCCAGGGGCCAGCTTAGAGTCCATTTAGGGGTCCTTGACCCACTGATGCTACCAAGATCTGGGGTCCCCAAGAACACTGGGTGCCAAGCTCCACTCGGCTGGCCCAGCCATCTCTCTGAGACAATAGCTGCCATTCATCAGAGGTGGCTGAAATTTAAAGATATCCAAAAACACATCACCCAAGGTCTATCCCAAGTTTGATGGCAAGAAAAGCACCGGTTCTTCTACAGAGACTGAAGATAAAGTGGACTCAGGCATCTCGCTGTCCGTGCTCCAGGAGAGAGTGGCAGGGAGGTGTCAAGGGCCCTATCCAGGGGTACATGGAGCCGTGCACACTGGCCTGGAGGCTGGTCTTACTGTCTGTGTCAACTCCTGACCTCTGGTCTCATCTCCAGTTGGCTCACTGAACTGTTTCCCTGGGCTTGTCAGGTTGCTGTTTGCTTCCCCTCAACCCTGCCTTGGCCTGGCTTTCCCCCTCCCCCGCTGCACCCTGACTCTATGGCGAGGACCCTTCTCTTTCTGTGTGCTACATATTCCCGATGCCCCGTCGATCCACTTGGGTCAGGGGCTGTACCACATTCTCTGCCTTGATCCTTACTAGGTCCCTCTGAGGTGGAGTTTGAAGGTGCTCCTGTCACAGGTAAGGAAATAGAGGCTCAGAGAGGTCAAGTCACTTGCAAAGGGTCACACAGCTGGTAAAAGCAATGGTGTCAGGAAAAGGTCAGCAGCCCCCAGAGACCTGGGGGTTAGGAACCCACCTGTCGGACGAGGGCCAGCTGCAGGGAGACATAGAGGATGACCTGGGGGTCGCCAGGCGCCAGCTGCTGGGCTCTGTATGCGGAAAGGGAGCACCAAGTCAGTCACCAAGGGTCGAGCAACCAGTATCTGACACAGGCCTCCAGCATGCCACGTGTGCCCCGTCTACACCAGGGGGTCTGCTTGGAAAGGTGCCCAGCCGGCAGGTGATGGCTTGGGCAGAAAGCCACCGGTAGGGGCAGCTGTTGACCTGGCTGGGGCCCTGCGGTGGTCTTATACAGAGCCTGGAGCCTGCCCTCTCCACCGTAGGACAGAAGGAAACACCTTCCTGAGGGTGGAGGCGCTGGGAACGGCCTCTCTGGGCAAGAAGCCTCAGGAATGAAGAGGCGGGAGAGAAAGGAAGAAAATGTCCCCCTATCCTGGCGCCCAGGATGGGACTCTCCGGTCTCCCTGGGCTCGGGAACAACCTGCCCAGGGGGAGTTAAATGTGCTGCATTTTCCAGGGGAGCTGGCACAAGGAGTCCGTACCCAGAAGCTTCCACATCAGCGCTAGGCGTGTCGGGGATCAGACACACAGGGCTCTGAGGAAGGAGTGGTGGGGAGGTCAGGGGTCAAGGCTGTGTGGAGACAGGAGCTCAGCAAGGATGGGTCTGTGGGAGGGAAGGCTGCTGCTGGGGGAAGGTCTTCTCTGCCTCCCCTCCCCACCCGCACATTCCTGACCCCATGGCTGCCAGGAAATCTCTGGGAGGACTATGGATGGGGAGTCCTCATAGCCATTGAATTTTTGGCTATGGTAAGGCACTGTGCAAGGTGCTTTTCCTGCTTTATCTCAGGTAGTCATCACAACATAATGGGTTATTATTCCCATTTTAGAACCCTGAGCTCAGGAGGGCTGAGGCTCAGCCTTGGGGGGGGGGGGGGGGGAC